ATGTTCCTTGCTCCCTTTTGGCAAGGGTTCAGCCAGTGGTTCAGATGCCTGCCCTTTTGACAAGGGCTCAACAGCAGCCTCAGAAGGCTTCTCTTCTGCCATCTCTGCAGCCCCTTTTGCCAAGGGGTTTCCATCCTCACCATCAGGCTGCTTTTCAACCCCTTTGTCCAAGGGATCTTCAGCACCAGGCTTCTGTTCACCCCCTTTTGCCAAGGGGTCATCATCCTCACCCCCTTTTGCCTCTTCACCCTTTTTTGCAAAGGGCTCAGTCTCTTCAGCCCCTTCTGCCAAGGGCACACCATGCTCTTCATCCCCTTTTGACAAGGGTTCAGCTTCCATTGGTGCACTCTCATCATGCCCTTTTGCCAAGGGCTTGTCACCATTCTCTTCATCTCCTTTGGCCATGGCCTCTTCTGCCAAAGGCTCATCTGTCTCTTCAGTCCCTTTTGACAAGGGTTCTTGCACCTGTGCAGCCTCATTCTGCTCAACCCCTTTTAGCAAGGGGTCAGCACCCACTGGCACCTCTCCTTGTTCAGGCCCTTTTGGCAAGGGCTCAACCTCCATTGGTGCCTGCACCTCTTCCTTGGGCTCAGTCTGATCAAGCCCTTTTGGCAAGGGTTCAACCTCCATTGCAGACTGATCTGCCCAGTCAACCTTCTCTTCTTTTAGGGTTGACTGAGCACCCTCAGCTGTTGCTTCTTCAGCCCCTTTTGACAAGGGCTCTTCATCCTTCTTATCCCTTTTGGCAAGGGGTGGCTGCACTGGCCCTGAGCTGCTGCTTGAGGTGCTGCTGTATGCCTCACTGCTACTCTCAGCAGCTGGCTTGGGTGCAGCAGGTGCTGCTGGAGGTGCAGCAGGCTGCTGGGGTGCTGCAGCAGCTGCAGCAGGCTGAGGCACAGCAGCAATTACCCTTGCCAGTGCCTTTCTTCTTTGCTTTTCCCTCCTGGCATGGCTGACAGTTCCCAGGCCAGCAGGCCTGTTCTTGTTGTTCCTGAGGTCTGACTGACCATCCCAGGCATCCCAGTTGGCCATGCCCCTTTGGTCAAGGGGTTAGCCTCAAACCCTTTTGTCAAAGGTTGGAGGCTCACCCCTTTTGTCAAGGGTTTGGAGCTTACCCTTTTGTCAAGGG